TTTTATTATAACATGGACAAAAATTCTCTAAATGAGTTTTGGCATTGCCGTTTATCAGGGAGAGTCACTCCCATGGATTTTCACTTTTTTTCCAAGACTTTATTTGCTCTTTAGACTGGTGAGTAACATACACATTCATACTTGGCTGGCTCCCGTTATTTATATGTATATTATAAATATATAAATTCATCCAAAAGTGAACAAAAATGGCCACTTTGCACACTAGGACTTAATACAGGCCGAAATGCAAACTTGTAATCCCATATTTTGCTTAAAAATCCCTTACGCAATTATACAGTGACTACACTTACAATACATTCAAGCGATCTGCTTGATGCAAGTCATGTCTACAAGCTAAGGTGCTTGAAAGCCGACTTTGGGCTTGATCAGCAGTCCTGTTCTCATTCAAGTTCAAGCGACTTATTACTTTGTCCTCAGAGGCTGCTTCATAAATTTGCAGGCTGTTAATGTCAGTTGTATGGATGAGTCACATTTGCTTCTGCTTTCTCTAGCACTGCAGTAGCTTCGCCCCTTTGACCCCTCTGCCAGTTCCTCACTGTACGGCCTATTTAACAACACCTGCCCCAGATACAGCACCTGCCCCAGATCGGCATTATTATTCACTACATCAGCCCCAATATCCTTTCCTTTTTTAAGGACATTCAAATAAGAAACTTTTTCCCATTTGATACTTGTGCTATATTTGCAAACACAGAAATATGACTTTAATATATAGAAGTTTTTAATGAAGATCTTAATAAATGTTCTAAGTGTGCCTTAAGACACGACAGTAAAGTTACTCCAGCCCCGGTTCTGGGGTGGGGGGGTGCAAAAGCATGTATTGCACCAATACTTAATTTTTGCACCTGCTGTTGAGTAGAAAAACAGTTCTGTAGGGTGCAGATAACTTCAGATAATAATAATAATACTAATAACAACAACAACAACAACAATAATAATAATAATAATAACAACAATAAGAAAACAACAACAACAACAATAATAATATTTATTATTATTATTATTATTATTATTATTATTATTATTGTTGTTGTTGTTGTTGTTGTTGTTGTTGTAGAAGCTGTTGTTTGTGAGGGGTGATATTTAAGGGTAACATAATATGAGTATCAAATTTAGAAGAGCATGTATTTGTATCAAATCAAGACAGCACAATGATTATATTTTAAATTATACTTCATTTCAATATTGTCTGTATTTATATTCCACCAGTGCAAAAACATCTCTTTACAACGTGTTACCAACATTAATCAAATATCTCATGCCTGAGTATACTTCTTTCAAATCTGTTGTCCATCTGACAGAACTTCTCATTCAGAGCTATGCAATACATATTTAAACATATAATCTTCTACCATATTCATACAGCATGTATAATAACACATTCATATTACCACTGGAAAAAGTAAGAAGTGAACAATACAAAGATGTGCAATATAAAACCAACCATGCAGTCTTTAAAGTAATTTTAAGATATTCTCATAACACAGCTATGTATCATGTGTACTATCTATATTTTAAAGTAATAATAGTATTTTTCTCATGAGGGATGAGAACATGGATGTAATTAAGGACACAGAGCCGTAGCATTCTCTCTGAAGTGCAGCCATTCAAACATCAGGTATATTACAGTAAAGCCATCATGCTGCAATGTGATTTTTCCATTCTCATTTAAGGGAGTGTATCAAAGCCCATCATAAAACTGTGCATACTGTGAACTACACTAGGAATAAACACACACCACAAATGACATCTTATCACTTGTATTGAGCGTATGTGGCACATATGCATCCAACAGTTACACTTATGCCAACAATTTTGGACACTGCATGGTAAACTAAATCTCAACCTGCATGATTTGGTGGCATGTTAAAAATAAAGAAATAGATAAACAAAAAGGGTATGTGTAGTCTCCAATTTTTTTACCCCACTATTGTACTCCCAGAAGTTCACTTGCTGCATTTCTCATCATGGACTGTAAAGGCAATAAGAACACTGACACACAATCATGACATGTATGTAAGGCCATTTATGTAAGACTTTTTTTCCTCATATCAATTAATATAAAATTATGAAGCAAATGTATTTGGGGATGAGCATCAAGTCATTTTCCCATAGTACCCACTTGGTTTTGAACCTACAATACCCTAGACATTTGTCAGTAACCATTATTTTATGTGTAATTTACTTATTGCCATGCCAGAATCTGGAATGTGAAATGTGTAGTTTAGATAGCTAGACTCAATAAATTTGGCTAAATATGATAAAAATTTAATGTACATATCATTCTTTGGTATTTTTAGTATTATTATGTCACTTCTAAACAGACCTATGCTGTTAAACCAGTTTTTTATATCAACCACATGTATAGGTACTCTAGGGTATGCATACAACAGATGTGCAATTAATGCAAGACATGCTAGTGACTTATTTCTTCATTATGGAGTATTCCGTCACTGTCTAAACAAAATCTTGTATCTTCAAAATGACAGCTTTACAGAAGAAGACAAAATCTTTCTTGTAACAAGATTTTACAAGCAATTTTTGACAACTTCTGTTGGTCTACTCGCCATGCAGTTTACACACAATGAAAAGAGCATTTGGTGTTTTTGAATTTTGTGGGGAAAAAATGGCAAATATGGAGATGCAAGGTTTTGTTCTGTCAGCAATGATTTTTTAATATGGGGCCACCTGAATGTCTTCTATATCCCGACCTCACAATGTTTGTAGTGATGTGGGAGGTAAACATCATTCAGTTTTATCACACTTAAATGATGATATTGTGTGCTACAGTTGGAAAGTGTGTTTATAAGCCATTATGTCATTATGACAGCAAGTTTCCTGTGGCAATGTGGGAGTAAGACTGAGCTATAGATTTCTGTTGCTTTAGCAATGGCACGAGTGAAGAGGGGCTACATCCATCACATTGGTGACCACAGCCAATGTATGATCACAAGCAGCAACATTTTTCTTGCTGTAAGCTATAGTGGTAGCCATTTAGGTAGATAGTTTGTGATTATACATTAGAATTGTTGAGAATGCAGTAGTTTATAAAGAGAGGAAGAAATTTTGAAAAATACTTTTAATACAGTTACATTCCACACAATGGAAACCAATGGTTTTGCAATGCATAATACATAAAACTATAGATACCATTATATATAGATACTGTTACACTCTCAGGTCATTTTTCTCAAGTCAAAAAATAAAATAAAAAGGATGGATGGGTAGATGGATGAATGGATAAATAAATAGATCATTACTATATTACCTAGTATTAATTACATTTGTAACTGAAAGTAGTTAGCAATGGTATTCATATTTAGTACTTACATAATGTGAAGTTTTTTGTGTAATTTTCAGAATTGCTTTCTACAATTTCCTTTCATTTGATATTTTGTTTTTTTTCTTTAACATTTGGCATGTTTAACACATATTTACATTTTACCCTTTAAATCTAGCTACTGTATGTCCAAGTAAATACTAAGCATTGTTTTCATGCTTTGTGCTGCTTTGTGTATTTTACTGTAACTTTAATAACAGTTTCTTACTATTTTAAAATCACTAACCTAAGATCTGAATATTTAATAGATTATTTGATTCATTTGATTACTGATGCAGTTCAAGTGCATATTTAGCATTGTAATTACAAATAATTTCACATTACTGCTACAGATCTTTACAAAATAATAGCACTAATGCAAAAGGAATGTATAATACTTTTGACCTTCCACACAATACACTAAACTTTCATTATGTAAAACTCTTTCTAACCAATAAAATAACTCCTCAGCATATGTCTGATTTTAACTACCTGTAACTATTAGAATCTGATAGAAACACATTTTAACTCAGTAATTTTCCCTGAATTGTCACCATATTGTGCTATCTGTGTGTGTAGTGTGTGTACGTATGTGCAGGTATGCATGTGTGTGAGGCCATAAAAGCTTGCACATAGTTTGGAGTTTTTATTTAGTACTGTTTTACTTTTAAATTTCTGATTGTATTCAGAGATTTGAAGTTAGTGAAATGACACTGAAATGCTTGCAAATACAAGACGGTGTGCATGTCACAAGTTATATTAAAGCATGCTAATGTAAGATTTACACTTCAAAAGTTTGGTATCATGTGCCATATTAACAACTTTTATATGATGTTCTATTCCATATTTCAGGAATTCTGTGAACAGAGAAGTATATACTAATATACTGTAATTATCTATGTACAGTATTTTCTTGTTAAGTTATTTGCTTTGAGATTCGATTTCCACTTTTCAAATATGATGAATTCTGGACATCATTTTACAATCTTTTACGGCTCTGTTCATCATGCTGGACACATTTTATTCCTTTTTATTTACAGTTTGCTAGTTGCCTACTAATTATTTGAAGGTTGCACAATGCACATATGTTATAATCTTTCTGCACACTTGTGTTCTGAAAACATTGATCCCAAACTTTTGAACGGTGATTCCAAACTTTTGAACAGTAGTATAAATATTTTCAGTCAGGTTGCATGAGAGAGTGCACAGCAAGCAATGGAAACTAAGGAGACACATTGGTTAGAAGTACCAGTTAAAAATGTGCTACTACTATAATCATGTCTGTTCTGCTCGCTGTATACGAAAGACAGAGCAGAAAACATTTAAACAACAAAACAAGCACACACAAATTTGCCATTTTGGAGCTTTACTACACTGGTGAGAACATTTGGTCCTCACAAGTAGAGTTGTCTGCAAAAGTTTGGGTACCCCTGGTACATTTTGTTGGTTTTCTAAGTGAAAATAAGTTAACACATCCTCTACTGAGAACACACTGCACATTTTAAAGCATGATGACTGTTTTTTGGTGAATTTAACATATTATGGAAAAAAAATCTGGCCTGTACCTGAGTTGTGGCACATTTTACATTATATTTTTTCCAGTATGTTAAACTCAGCAAATAAATAAATGACATATTTCTGTTTCTAAATATTGTGATAACATTTTCATTTAGAAAACATTAACAAAACATGTCATTTGAACGGGAGTGTTCTAACTTTTACATATGACTGAATATTTCTTTAAAGGAGCAGATTGACCAAAGAAACTAACATAGATAACAATGAATAGAAGCTGGTGGGCTCCAATTAGCACTATGTCATTTGCATAACAATAGGTGGTGGCTATTTGCATTCATTCATTGTTAGCTACTTTACCTTTTTGACTGAACTATTCCTTTATATTTCACACAAATATTACACACACACACACACACACCCACACACACACACACACACACACACATATATACATATACACACTCTCTTTTGCAAATGGACTCACAGAGAAAGAGAGAGACAGAATCTGAGAGCTTTTTTACACCAGACCAGAAGAACAAATAAAAGACTGTTTTGATATCCAGAAACATCATCAAACTAGTAATATATTTGGCAGTATTAGGAATAGTGTGCTTTGTCTTTATCAATAATCAGTGATCAAAAAGACAATAACAACATACCTCTCCCCAAGATAATCTCTTAAAACATCACACAGCAAATGAGTTGGCAGTAGTTTGAGGACACAACACTAAAAGTTTCAAAAGATGGTCCCAGAAAAAGTGTAGTTTAGATCATTGGCTTTCTTACTACTGTAAACCTTAGTGTCAAATGGAAGAATCTGCAGTTTGGAGATCTGCACTGTAGTTTCTTCTCAATGCACTCATACCCAGGTGTGGCAGTGGCTGAGTTTTTTCAAAATCGGACATGTTTGATGGCACAGGCAAGAAAGGACAGTGCCGTAGGATGGGCAGCGATGCAGTCACAGGACGATGAGTCAAGCAGATTTCAATATACATTTTCAGGCAGGGCGCATACATTTCTGAAAGAGATGCACCAAAAAAGAGAGATTGGAAGAAGTGAGAGAATGGAAAAAGCATTTACATTATTTGCAGACTGTATTACATTTATTTACATTTATACAGAGTTTTTTGTTTTAATAGTTTTACTTCACAGAAAAGTTTGATTTCTCCCATGTTTTTTAATCTAAGATCAAGCTCATAAACAGCACAGATATTTTTCCATTTGTCATCATCACCAAGAGTGCCATTTTGGTGAGCACTGTAAGAAATTCATCATTGTGCCTGCATCATGTTTGAACAATTGCATCCTATGGTGCTTATTTCTGTAATGATGAAATATCTTGAATGACTTGTATGACTTATTTTAATATTCTCTTGATTAGTTACAGAATGACTACTGATTTGATAGACCTTTCAACCAGTAAGCAAAGTGGCCTCTTTAGCCTTGCACATTGCTCTGGAACCCTCCGTAATTAGAAATACTTATGTCAGAATGTTATTTGTGGACTGTGTTTCTGATTTTGACACCATCTTTTTTTCGAAACTGGTCATTAAAAAAATACTCCAGTGTTTTTAACCTAATCTCTATTTGCCACATCTATAATGTACAGTCCATAACCATAAACAATAATTTTAATGTGTTTTCTTGTACTTAAAAAAGAAAAATGGTGAATAGTAATAATTCATTAAACAAATACTGCAAAAAAGCTGTTAATATTCATAATTTGTTCTTCAGAGAATGGACTATTTTTCCAAATAGAAGAGTTTGTTGTAACACATTACCAGCATCAAGGTGTAAAATATACACTGGGGGGCATCTGGAACCTCGTAATTAACCTCTTGGACCCCCTGAATGTCTCAAAATGAAAATTCTTGGGGGTCTCTGAAAATAAACTTATTATGATGTTATACTGTCAGATTGTGTGTAAGGCCACATTCCCAAACTAGAAAAGAACATTTCCAAAAGAAGAATTGTTAAACTAAACATTTTGCTGCTATTGAAACTAGCATCAGCACTGCTATGGTGAGTGAATTAGCAGCCAGCCAACGCTGACGTAGCCAGCCAACGTGAATCCCTCTCGATTAACTGTGGGTATTTTGCACACTGAGCAGCATAGTGTTGGCTCCGCTTTATCATGCAACGAAAATTGCTTTTTACTGTTTTGTTCATGTTTGAAAGTTTTGATAAGATATCCCAAGATATGTTTGTCTCATCCTTATGACCTGGATTGTTGTAGCTGTGAGTATAACAGCTGTAGTATGTTATACAGTTACATATTTTAAATGTTTATTCAGCAACAGCCCAATGGCTTCTATTATAAATGAGTTTCAAGTTAACAGATTTTCAGTTGTTTTCTACATACATGAAAATGAACCAAAATTATTCACACTGATAATACACGGTACGTGGGTGTCATCTGTCATGCTGGCCATATCTGTATTGGTACAATACAGACATGGCAGGTAGTGCTTAAAGCTACACTGTGTAATATATGGGGATTTGTGGACCTCTCTGCAATGTGCACAAGAGTATTTTCAGTTTGTGTTTTTAAGTTGGAAAACACTGTATTATTCCCTCAAACTGTGGTCCATGTTTCTCTGCAATTGTACCTGAATGCTTCATTTCAGACTGCACAAAAACATTGTAGATAAAATTGTAAATATGTTAGGACATAGATAAAAGTGCAGTGTGAACAGAAACACAAGGAACCTCAGACTACACAGTCAAACAGGGTTTTATGTGTGCTCTGGAGGACACATTTGCTTGTTTTCTCATAATGGAAAAAGAGCAGTTTTGGAGAAGGAGAAAGGTGCAACCTGTACCAAGAAAATAAAGCTGGCCTATGTTATCTTAGCCTACATAGCCTTACTCGCAAGGGTGAAGCCGACATAACAAAAACTAGGTTATTTACACAGCCCTGTGGGTAAGCTTCTGAGAACAACCTCCATGAAGCTTGTAAATGAGATATTAGTGAGGTGCAGTACTCCCAGGAGATAGTTAGGAACACCTTCACAGCATCTGCTATACAAACTGTTTATTGATGAGGGAACTTAAAAAATGATGACATACATACACACTAACATGTAGCATTTAGCTTTGAAAATGGATTATACAAGTAAAAACAACATGGAGGTGAAAAATAAGAGAACAATGATAGAAGCTTGAATGGTCTGAAGATGATTTGGGGTAAGAAAGGCAAGGAGATGTGGGGGTGGGAGATGTGGGATCACAACACAGTAGCTATCAGGTAGTTTTACCAGCATGTGAGCGTCAGGGCTCCAACAAACTTTCGGCCTTCCAGGTCGAGCAGCCAGGTTAGAGTTGTCTGTTTCATTGAAAGCACACACAAAATTAAAATTAAAATTTAGTAACCAGTGAACCATATTCATTATATATATGTTTATATATATATATATATATATATATATATATATATATATATATATATATATACATATATATAGTTGCCATTAGTAATGCCTAAGAGTGACTTAAGGAAAAGTTGTTCTTAAAGATAACATTTTCTTTGAAATAAAGCAGACCATATATATATATATATATATATATATATATATATACACATTTATTTACATATGGGTCAGTTTATAGACCACAGAGGGTTAAACATAACCATTTAATTGTAAAAAGTGCTGGAGATAAACAAGAAAACCATTAGTTCTCCTTCTGCACAGATGGATGTCTGAAAGATTTCTGACATATAGAAGAGAGCTATGTTTAAAAAACACGATGACATCTAAGCTATCTAAAGGTTGCATCCCTGGAGCCAAGTTTCAGAAATGAGAAAATTGCTCCCACTGATTTCAATGAAGACTTAACATGCAATTAAGACGAGATTTTATTTAGAATTTTTTTTCATCTGGGTTGTGGCTTGTAGTTAGTAAACAGCAGAATGGGCTTTTAGTTTAGGGATATCACTAGATTACTCAACTGAAAAATCATCGATTTAAATGTACCTCCTCAACCTAATAAACAATAATTACTTGCCAAATTGCATGATGCATATTTTATATTCTCTGAGAAACAGCGTCTCTGAGAAGCAGAACCATGCATATTTGTCACATAGTGTTTATCTAAATGATGACTTCCTTTTATCATTGTCTTTCTTCTTCCGTTTATCATTTTCAATCTTTGATAGGCTACACTCTTAAAAATAAAGGTCTCAAAAAAAAAAAACTTCTTGGTGCGACGCCATAAAATCATCACCTTAATTCCCTGAAGAACCTTTCAATAGATGGTTCATTAAATAAAATACATCTTTGTAAATGAGATATGCAATTGTAAACAACCTTTTTAAAGTTCATAATGTAGAGGTTCTACACCAACTAAAGGTTTTACCTAGAACCATATATTTATGCAAAGAACCATTTAGGAAGTTTAAATAAAACTGATAAATCAAATAACTGTCAAACTAATTGGTAGTTTACTTAATTATGATCAACAGAAATAATAGAGATAAAGAGACTAAGGAAGTAGAAAACATTTTCTGAAAACGTCATTTCAGGGAAGAAGGCTCACTCCGTTTATTTAGAGTGAGCCATTAGCATATCAATATCACTTAAGTAACACAGGAAGAGAGCATAAGTGTATGCACAAGAAAGTGAAAAGTGAAAGAAAGTTAAATTCCACTGGGCAAACAACTGAATACATCTACTTTGATTCAATGTTATGTATAAGCATTTTGTGAAGTCGACACTGACTGTAGAAATGCATTTGGACATGAATGACATAACGATGAAGGCATCTCCAGTTATCCATCCCCAGAATTTGTTGCCAACAGGTTGTAAACCATTCAATCCTCTGTAAATCTCAATTAATCATCCAAAGATCTATTATTTGCTTTGAGATGCAGCGGTGTACTCAGTTGGAAGCCCAATGGACAAAGGAAAGAGAAGGGAAACAGTTCTTACTTGGTGCCCTCTTCTGTACCCCCTTCTCCATCTGTTTTGCCCTCCTCTTCCATCTTCTGTTCATCGGAGATGAGCTCTTGTTTCTTGTGCCTGCGCACACACTTCACCACCACCATGGACAGAATAACCAGAGCCAGCATACCTCCTATAGATGCTCCAATCGCCACTGCAATGGTCGAGTCCCGTGGAGGAGGCACTGGAGAGTAGAATAGAGAGAAGACCTGATCAGTGGTCATTATGACAAACACTCCGGGTGGTGGAATTGTTGGCATTATTCACAAACTTGTAGTTTAGACAGTTTGACTAAAACGTAAGGAGAATTTGACTACAAGACATGTTTTGGTATTAATAGTTTTGCGGTGGAGCTACAAGGCAAATGTAACTAACAGGACATGGAACCAATTAGCATCATGCACACTCCATACCTAAACTACCACAACTACATGTATTCATGTATTTTATGACAAAGTTATGCATGCTAAAAATTGATATTTTATCTCTGCATCCATTTTTATAGATATAGTATGTCATGTCATACAGAAACTGCATAAGCAAGTCTTTTTCAGATTACCTAACAACTCAAAATGTTTGAAAAATGTGAGTGGACCTAATTTAAGCACAATAATGAGTTTATGCACAATACTGGTATATTTTTGTCAAACATTTTAGTCCGTTTCCATGAAACAGACATAAAACAGAATTAATGATTTGTGAAATTTAGCCATGATTTCTATTCCATTCATAATGAAGTATAGAAATCTATAACGAAAAACCTTGTGGGTTTACATTTTGCTCTAATCGTAAGCATGCTTGAAAATGAAAATATGTGTTTTAATGGTTTGCAGCATTTTATCTATCTGCAGTCAGAAGCCATAGTGTGTCTATGTGTTTGCATTTAGTGCACTCTGGTGTAACTCTGCAGGACAGACGGCTGTGATGCTGAGGTGAGCGAGACTGGCATAGTCATCAATAAGTAAAGAGCAAAAAAGTGCTGCATCATCACTTGAGCTGAGGGGGCCGTGCAGCCCTTAGAGACACCGCAGTGAGGGTGGACGGTAGAATCCTGGGATACAGTGAGCAAGAATGAGAGAGAAAGAATGTTGTTGAGGAGAGGAAGTAAAATCTAGCTTTTAAATAGTACTTTTCCATGTTCCATGATATTGTTGACCATTTCATTCTCATTTAGGGAAAACTGCCTGTAGAGAGGTTCACTTAACATTTAGTAACTTCATGTCGAATAACGTAACCTTTTAATGCAAAAGCAGACTTTCTCTTAATAATGTAATTTCCAGTGGTAAAATGTGACCATTAGGTCTTTAGTTCAGGCCATAAAGCTTGAATTTTGGTCCAAAAAAAAAAAAAAAAAAACACCTTGATAATAATGTTGAATTCTACAAGCACCCCTATGAGCTTTATAACAGTATATTAGCACTGGACTAACATTAGTGCACATAAACAATTTTGTCAGTTCTAGATAAAACACTGCTGGGTGTATCCAGGGGTAAATTCGGCCAGAGTGGAGGCCTTTGATTTGTGTGAACAGATAATGGAGTTCAGCTCTGATACTGCAATTCGATGTAAATGTAAATGTACATTTTTGTGATGCATTTTATTACCCAAAGTGATAACCTGTGATAACAGAAAAACCTTTAAACAGTTTCTCAATGAACAAAGTTTGAGCATTTATTTCTGTAGCACATAGTGGGACAATAGGTGGCATGCCCTCCTTGGTCTACTGATTTTTAAAAGTCATCAGACTCATCTGAATTACAAATGACACACAGATTGTTCCACACAGTATTTTTATTGCAAACCAATATGCTCTTAATGTAAATTTTCAAAGTCAAAATTGAAAAAAACTGACAAATGCATCTTGCCTAAGCATTCAACCCCTTCAGACTAGTACTTGGTACAACAACCGTTTGCTGAAATAACAGCTTTAAGCCCACTGGGATACATTTCTACCAGCTTTGCGCTTGTTTATGAGTGATTTTTTTCCATTCTTCCTGGCAGATTTTTTTCAGGTTGGTCAGGTTGGTTGGATGACGCTTGTGGAGTGCAGTATTCAAATAGTGCCACAGATCCTTGATTGGACTGGACTGGACTTTTTGTTGTTCAGCTACTCCTGTGTTGCTTTGGCATTGTGCTTGGGATGACTATCCTGCTGAAAGGCAAAATTTCTCCCAAGCTTTAGTTTTTAGCAGACTGAAGCAGATTATCTTTTAGTATTTCTATTTTTTATACCATCCTTCAATTTTACCAAGATGTCTAGTCCCTGCTGAGGAAAAGCATCCCCCACAACATGATGCTGCCACTCCCATACTTTACTGGTGAGATGGTGTTTGTTGAGGAATGGGCAGTGCCACACATAGTGTTTTGAACTATTTCCAAAAAGCTAATTGTTTTGTCTCATCTGACCGCAAAACTGTATGCCACCTTTTAGCTGGGTCACTCTGATGCTTTCTGGCAAACTCCAGATGTGCTTTGATATGTTTTTTCTTCAGTATTGGCTTCTTTCCCATACAGGCCAGTTGTATGCAGAGCTCTTAAAATTGTTGACTGGTGCACCTTAACTCCAGTCTCAGCCACTGAACTCTGTAGCTCCTTCACAGTGATTGTTGGCCTCTATCTAGCTTCCCTTACATGTCCCCTTCTATGCTAAGTTTTCTAGCACATTTATGTTACTTTATCTTTGATTGCCTTAGAATGCTTTTTGGTTTTCATTTTCACAGCTTCCCTTTTAAATTCACAATCTGACCAGTGGTACTTGAATTAAGGGGTGAATGTTTTTAATGATTCACAAGTAGAAACCTCCACAGCAAAGGGGTTGAATACTTATACAAACACCATTTTTCAGTTAGTTACTCAAAGAACTCTTTGCATGATCAAAGGGTTCTTTGCATTATGAAAGAGTTCTTCAGATTAATGGGCAACGTGCTGCAGAGGGTTCTATATAGAACCTTTTTGAAAAGGGCTCTATATAGCACCAGAAAGGGTTCTTCTATTGTTACAATGTCAAGGTTGAACCCTTTTATATATATATATATATATATATATATATATATATATATATATATACCCTGTTATATAGAACCCTTTTCAAAAAGGTTCTATATAGAACCATCTACAGCTCATTCTCCATCAATCTGAAAACTCCTTTTGCAATGCAATTAACCCTTTAATTATGCAAAGGGTTCTTTGAGTGTTCATGGTTCTATTAGAACCTTTTTCTTTACTAAAGATCCCTTGAAGCACCATCATTTGTAAGTGTGTGTGTATGGAATCCTTTCAGCTGTTATGTTATTATGTTTTAACTTATACTAAAATACCTGAACTAAATACCTAACTAAATAGTTTTGTTTATTATGCATCAACCAAAGTAGCCTACAGTATTTGCTGTTATTTTTCCTATTAAATCCAAAATAATCCCAATGCATTGTTATGCATAGGTCACAAGTGAAGTAGCTAAATCAAACATTTGTTCATCTAGTGGGAATATTTTATATAAATGAGTTTTTACAAAATTTGATGGCCTTGCATAACTATGATGTTTAGCCTATTGTTTTGAATTACTGTTAAATGGACTCAGTGGCATACCCTTATACCTATATAGTTATTTCATAGTGCTTGCATAATAATATTACTATTCAGCTTCATCAGTTAAGCAGTAAAATTGTCTAATGATATTAGGTAGAAAGACTAGGATTTACGGTAGTTTGAGTAGAATGGATGTCATTGGACATATACAGTTTAAAAGAATAAAAAGGGTTCTTAATGCCAGATGGGTGGCATCATTGTTTGGAAGAGTTTTTACAGGGTTTACAGGGTTAAGTGTGACCTTCATCTTTGTAAGAAAGTAATCAGAACATGTATGATGCAATTTTGGTGTCAAAATAGAAGAATACTAAAAAAAAGTGATATTACAAAAGTGAATGATTTAACTTAGTCTCATTACTTATTAGTTTATTTCTGTTACCCTTTAAAATCCATATGAATCTGTGCCAACTAATAAGTACAAGGGAAAAACCAATATAAGCACACAAAATCTCCAATACCACATGCTGTGGTGATGCACACATAAGGTTTAGTTTTGTAGCTACTTACACTCAGTGACAACAGACAGCTGGATGATACCATGGCCCTGGATGCGATCAGGAGGATTACGCACGTAGCAGTTGTAGATTCCCTCATCTGTTAGCTGCACATCTGAGATGGTGATGGAGAGGTCATTTTTGTCCAGATTCCCAGCAAACTTTACCCGGTCCCCAAAGCGATCTGTCCTCAAAGGAGTTATTTTGTTCTTAAAGGTCATAAACTAGAGAAAGAGAAATGATTAAATTAGATACAACATGAAGGAAGAAAAACTGCTGATGCTTAAAGCCATAAGTCAAGACCTTGTATTGTGTTTTAGTTTTTCTAATTGCAGAAGTGGATAAAGTAACCTAAACTCTTTTTACTTAAGTAAAAGTATTGTCACTTCAATGAAATAATCACTCAAGTACCCTAACACAAAACAATTTAAGTAGGAAAGCTAATAAAAGTGCTCAAGTAGTGAGTTCTCTCTGGAAAGGTAGCGGAACCTCTCAGTACATACAGCATCTATTAGCAAAAGCACTAACGTTTGTTAGGTGTTATTCTCCTCCTTTGTTTTTTCTTTTTTTTGGTCTAAAATATAATGCCAAATCTTAAAGTGAGAGGTGTGAACAATACTAAAGCAGCCCAAGTGATAAACCAACAGAACAGAATGAAATGTTCAAGTGAAGTTGGAGCACATTCTTCTGCAGCACTGGGATCTTTGGTTTCATATTAGCTTGATGGATGGTGTCAGACTGCTCATCGAGTTTAGAGTGCTCACACTTTCACGATTAAAGTCGTGCAGTCAGCTGTTGCAGTCAGCACATTGGCACACGAAAAATGTAAAAGGACAGGCACAAAAAGTTTCAAGTGCATCAAGCCTACTTATTGTTGCACTAGCATATGAGTAACACAAGCAAGGAAATTCTAATTAAGTAATTGTAATGTATTTATAACAATTTGAAATGTAATGCATTGGTTTGTTGCAAAAAATAATTACATTACTCTAACATATTACTTTGCACAGTGTCTATATCAAAATTTTGCTTAATTGTATGTAACTGAGTAAATGTAACTAGTTACTACCTTCGTCCATTGGAGATGTAAATAATAAAAATCACCCTTCAGTAAAACCTGATGCAAAATGAAAACTCTCTCTGCAGTGCTGCAGAGTACTCTGTAACAACCTTTCGCATGCTCACACACACACATTACATGAAAAATATAATACACACATGGACACAAAATTATTTTATTAATCACAACTCTTCTCACCATCTCCTCTGTGTCATTTAAAGTCTCCTGATATGTCCAGTTCATAGCAAACTTGGTGGGGTCTAGTCTGTAGCAGGAAGTGAAGCTGCAGGAGATCCTGACCATTGTGCCATTCAGAGCATTGATTTGCTGGGCCACGAGTACATCCATTGAGGAGACAGTGGAAGCTGAAATAGAAGCAAGTAAAATTGATTTTATATATTTGGATAGTGATTGAAAATGCACACGATTAATTGTCAGTTTCACGTCAGCAATTGTTTTGATGCAATTCATGCATTAGGTTGATGTATCATCAATGTATTATTCCAGATATAGGATAAACAGGCTTTAGTAGTTCAGAAATTCAGGGAGTTCTGAATAAACTTCAAATTACTTTAATAGGTATTAGTATAGTATAGTGTTTCTAAAGATGCAGTGAGTCAAAAATACAGCCTATTTTCCTATTTTTTAAATTTTTCTGTTATACTCATCTTTTATTTTTTTCTCTAAAAACAGAAGTGAGGAGTTTGAGTGCTGAAGCTCAGTTTTAAGCTTCCTGTAGTTAAATCTGTGTCCCATAACTGCTCATCTCTATTTGATGATAGTGGTACCACACCCAGTCCTGCAGTACAGACACTAAAGCAGAGGCACTAGAAGCTTAGGCAGCACTTCTCACAGTCCAGACAGATGACTGCACGGCTGCAGAACACACACACATACACAAACACACACAGCAAATTATTAATAATAATAATGTTACCTCCTTGAAAGGTTTTTGCCATTTCTTTTTTGTCTTCTCTTTACTAAGGATGCCAAAATTCAGAAGAGCAATGTAGAAGTAAAGCAGGGCTGGTGGTCCCAGTAGTGAATTAATTTACATAGCGACCAGGATAAACAACCTTTTTCATATCGTCGCTGCTGGAACAAAACTTTGTATCTGAATTTTGCCATTTAAAAAAGAATTTGAAAATACCAGCTACCATTTACACTGTGTCAAAATTTCATGATGAATGGGACTATAGAAAGGTCCAAAAATCTTGAATTGAAAGTTAAGACTAGTTTTTTTGCTTCTCCTGTAAAGTTACTTTTTTGGAGATACAAGGTTTTGTTTCCGACAGTGACGATATACTAAACAAATATTATGAGAGTGAGCTCAGGCATCGCATTGTTGAGATTTAACAAAACTCTACCATTTAGTATCAAAGGAGATCAGCTTGCTGGAATCCATGAAGAAGCCCAATACAAAGGTGGATTACAGGGTTTAGAGGGATTTTAACAGATTGGTGATTAGTGAACTCTGATTGTTCTTTATAAGATTATGAGAGATTAGTAACTCAAATATTCTCATAGAGACAAACATTACAGTAGAACTACACAAAGCCTTTTTTATTACACTTGTCTAGCTCATCAGTGAATCATCAATGTTTGAGTCAACCATCATTCGGCTGGGGTTACTACCTGCTACATCTACTCTTTGACTAGACCATCTTATTCACAAAAGCCTTGTGTGGCTGCAGGTTTTCAGGTCCAATCAAGCAGGAGCACCCTGATTCCAACTGATTAAAGAACCAGTCTCAATTTTCAAACATTTTTTTAGTTTTATGAGGTGTGCTTCTTGCTTTGCTGGAATAAAAACCTGCAGCCACACTAATTCTTTCTGCATAAGACTGATCACTCCTTGACCACATTATGACTAGTTTACGGCGATCTTATGTTGATGTCAAGTCCTGTACTTGCAATGCTGCATGTTCCCCACAGATCAGAGACAACACAGGGTCTTCAAATGGCAGCTCTGCATCTCTTAAGGGTGCAATATTTAGAAAAGCAGCATAAAAAAGTTAAACGGGAATGCTAACAGGAAAAGAAGGATGTAAAGCTTGTAAATCCGGTTAATCAAATTGGGCCCAGAAAGATGATAGAAGGTAGCAACTTTTTATTTCATTGGGCGCTCCACTTGTAGCATATCCGGCTTGATGAGGAATGTATCCTCAATGCCCTTGCTTCAAAAATTCCAGGCACTTGGCTATGAGTTTAGAAAAGCTGTGAAGCTGATTCTTGAAGTCTGGAGTGCCCAGTGAAATAAAAAGTTGCTACCCTCTATCATCTTTGTTGGCCCAATTTGATGAACTGGTTCTGTCAGCACCCTATCACACTGATCTGTGATACTGCAAAAAAATGGCATCAGTCATATGGTTGAATCTTACCAAAACTGTCTCTTACTTTTGATAGGACAATCATGATTTCAGCATATCTCAAGTTCTGCATGGAAATACATCTGTTCAGTGCAACCTCATTCTCTAGATCAAGCCCAAGGGCCAGATGGCCAAACACTTTTGTAAATGAGATATGTGAGTGAGAAAGCTTTTTAAAGTTTAAAGAACCTCAATGTAATGTAATGGTTCTAGGAAGGACCCTTAAATTGGTATAAAACCTTTACATTGTGTGAAGTTTCTTTAAATCTTTAAAAGTTTCTTCACACTCTCAATTGCCTTTTTCAAACATGGTTCTTTAGGGAACTAAAAGTGGTTCTTCTATGGCATGTCGCATCTTTTTTTATTGAACGTGCTGGAAAAATTATTTCATCCAGTTGGAGAAAGTGAACACATATTCTGCAGTTGTCAAAGCAGAAATGCATCTTCTCTATGGATATTGTTATTACTCTTATTTGAAACTCAGTAACAAAGATGTAGAGGATTAATTGTGACTATTTTTTCCATGGGAAAAACAGAGATTTCAATCAATCAGCAATCAAAAAATGCAGTCATTACCAAATTAGAGCTGAGGGTGGCAGATGTCTGTAAAACTAAAACACTACGCCCAAGGAGCAACTTGGATATGTTGATGTTGAAGAATTCTCCTGGACAGGATCTAAGGTGGTGCCAAGACCCTGAAGTCAAAGAAGCTCAAACCTTGAACATAACTACAAAATACAATAGCCTAGAAGGTTAACTGAACAACTTATTTTGCAGCTATCCAAGCAGACGCATTCTTAGACAAATCAGTAGACACAAAAAGATTAACCTCACTATTCTCTCACTATTGCAAGAGAATAAGAGAATGCAGAATATACCATCACAGCTCTCCAAGGATGAATACACATAGATAGGCTAAAAAGCAGTCTGTCTGCCATTACATAATGAACTGCACTGTCTTGAGACCTTCACAGATAAAGATGGTGTGGTCAAGGTGAAAGGAAGATTTTGTGACTCATCTTTTTCTGACTCGTTTAAACACCCTACAATCATTCCTAAGGATCACCCTGTCACAAAAATGATTACTCACTTGGTCAAGGACCAATGCAAAGGAGAGACATTACTGAAAACAGGTCAAGTGAGTTCCAGGAAACAACTGGGCTACAGCATCCTATGCTCACCAGTGTGTTATTTGTAGAAAGCACACGAGATATACTGAGGAGCAAAACATATCTGATTTCATGCCAGAGTAAGTGAACCCATCACCTAGTCACTAAACAGGGTATGAACGTTCACAAAAGGAATGGATTTCAAGTGCTTTTGCTCTCATGTCATTCATACTGAAATGCTCACTGACAAGTTAACAGATGCCTTTATTAATGACATGGCACACTGTTTAAGTGTCAAACATGGCTGAATGTGTCAGATGAAATCTGACAAAGGAATGTGACACTAAAGGATGTAACACAAGAGGACGATGTATTGGAACAACAGATCAGGGACCATATTAATAAAGCTTCTAAAAGTAGGAATGTTGATTTAGGATCAGATTCATGTCTTATTTACTCTTACTGAGAGCAACAGATCCTAGATCAGGACTCATAATCTGAGACGCTTTATGAACACAGACCTGAACTGGTAGAGCTGTATTTATACAGCTTCCGTATGTTTTTTCTCACTAAATAGGGCAGATATCTTTTCTCTATATAACTTTAATGATTTAAATATTCTAGAGCCACTGACTCCCAACCATATCTTAATGCTCAGTGCTTAGTATCATACATAAAAAGCAAAATTACAAAACAATTATATACTATCATAATGTATATGTCTGTCTGTCTGCCCTGTGATGGACTGGCGACCTGTCCAGGTTGTATCCTGCCTTCCGACCAATGACCGTTGAGAAGGGCTCCAGCTCCCCCCTCGACCCAGAAGGATAAGCAGCTTAGAAAATGTGTGCGTGTGTGTGTGTGTGTGTGTATAATATCATATAGGTGCAATGTGCATTGCAGAAGAGTTTTGTTGTCACCTCTCACAGAGACTTTAAACGGAGATTCTCTAACATAAGGGGAGATGGCAATCCTCTGGTGTTTGGAATTGGGGAAAAGTGTATTGCACGGCTTGGCCAATCAAATCAAACGTTGTAAGTCAATCATATCTGAACTTGACATCAGTAAAACTCTTCCGAGTGTTACGACAGTCCTCTTCTGCATTGGCAAAACATGTCATTGAGCCATTAATGTTAGCACTTTACAAAAGTTAGTTTTAAACCAGTTATTACTTTTCACTGCTATTATAATTAATTAAAATACTGATGGTTATAAACTACAGCCGTTTAGTCCTGCATGTACTTGCACCACAAAGGAGTGATACTGCTGCTATAGCTAACCCTAATAGCATTTAGAGCAGTTGTTGTAGACACTTTTCTGGGTTATTGCCACTAGCTACTGTGTAACGTGAACATACAATTTATCATCTGAAGATTGTGAAATAAAATTAAGTGTCTGCTTCTTTGTCCTGCTTAAGCTAAATTTCCACAAAACACTGGAAATTGCTAAACCTGATGTGACATGAGTACGCATATCTTAGCTAACTAAGTTAAATCTCACATGAGTTGGAGATGCATGAGTTGTGATGATGATTAAGGTATTTATGGTTGGCTAATGTCTGATAAATGACACACAACACACCATTTTAAGTTATTTTACTATTTAAAGTATCCATATACGGAATTATCACATTTTCTCCACCTTAAAGCTAAATGGTAGTAGCTGCAGTTGCATCACCAATAAGTGTTTCAGAGTAAGTTGCTGAAAAAGGAAACATTCACACTATCCCATTTTAAGACGTTATTCCAGAAATGTAAGTAGCAAGTAAACATGATATCCCGTGCATTTGCTGATTGGCATGTCAGTCAAATGGCCCATCCAATATTTTACTTTGCATAGACAGTATCTATACTACTTTAGAAGTACTTTGAGTTGCAGCATCTAGCT